CAAGATCTGTCCTAGCTCTAAAATTCTGTGATCAGCCAAGTTTTTTGGTCCCCTCCCCCCCCACCCACTTGAGGAACTTGTGCTGAAACTATAGGTCTAGCTAGCTGAATCGTGTTGGCACATTCAGGACCCCGTGTCAACACCTGCTGGTAGCCACCTTGCTTCAGAGAGAAACCAGAATGCCAAGGGATTTCCCAGAATGATTCTTTTTTGCTGACCGCAATTGGAAGAATACGGAGAATGGGTGGGTGCAGGGGAAGGGGAACTGGAGTCCTGAAGCTGCTTAACAATACACAAAGGGCTATATTATGAATTGCTGTCATGGTTACATCAGCTGGCACCCTTTCCTCTCCCCTAGACCCCTTCGAATGTGTTTCTTCACTTATCCGGGCCTCAGTTTATTCATCTGTGCAATGGGACTGAAGCTATTTATCTTTGAACAGTCTGCTACAGGATTCTGTGATAGGGTTGTAAATCTTTTCACAACCGTCAATATTTCCAGTAGAATTTTTAACCATTACGTTTATTTATTTATTTATTTACTCAGTTACTTATGGAATAGGATGCATATGTATGTAGGTATATGTTTTTATCTCACATTAGAAAAACATTGAATGCTTTTGACTTGTTGAACTAGGTCCTATCAGAAAATTATATTCTCTCTCTCCCTCAGTTCCCTCTCCCCTCTCTGTCCTTCCCCCTTCCCTCTATCTTCCTGCCTCCCTTCCTCCCACCCTTTCTCATTTGGGGACTACCAGTAAATGAAACTCCACCCATCCGAGCCCAGTGGCAATTGTCCCCATGAAAGCTGGGGTAGCATATTTATGGGAGTTTTTGCCTAAAGGTTCCTGGGCTTTATTGTGACTGGCATGACTAAGAGCCCAGCTGTTCACTCATCGCAGATGAGAACTGGCTCACAAGTTCCTGCACTCACTGGAAAATGAAATTAAACTCTAGAGGGTGGTGTATGTGTTTTACTTTCCTCCAAGTGCAAGTAGGTGCCAAGGCATTGGAGTGGTACAAATTTTACTCTTTGTTAGAATGGAATGGCACTTAAGAATAAGGAAGAAAACCATTTCTGCTCCGAGTAACTTTGTTCATTTTTTCCAGCTTGGAAACTTGGTTACTTTCTAATTATAGATTGTGGCTGGGCGTGTTGTAAGCTAAAACCAGTTCTATAGGGCTCTGTGCTCTGTTCTTTTCCCTTGAACATGAGCAACAGGAACAGGTGAAAAGCAAATTTGGAATTGCTTAAGTCAGGCCTGGATTTTTTGTTGTTCTTTGTCCTGGGCTTTATTTAGACATTCAACATAGATGAATGTCCAGAGGAAAAACTTTTAGAAGTAACGTACATGGCCACCAAGTACTTTGCTTGTCCAGAGGAAAATAGAGAAAGCTTGCCATACTTTTTGTTATATGTTTCACCTCACGAATTATTTTAATAGGCATTCTAGAAAGAACTGAGTAGGATACTTTGCTAGTTTGCTGCTAACCAACCACCTTTTATTTGCAGTTTATGCAAAGCAGTTTCCTTAAACTTGAACTCTCCACTCTAGTTTTTTGCATTAATGCTGATCTTTGCTTTTCTTTACAGCTCAAAAATATTTAGGTGAAACTAATAAACAAATGGGAATAAACTACCCACGATGCTACTACCCAGTATAACTGCTCCAGTCTTTCAGTATAACTTCTTTCAGAATCTTTTGAGTGCTAGGAATGAGATTTATTAATCGGTGACAGTTTCTGGGCCTCTCCATTCAGTTTCCTTACCACCTGCTAAAAAAGATTTTGTTTTTGCCCTGTCCAGTTCTTCCCTTCCCCAGGCCTATAATTGTCTTTCTCAGATCTGGGCAGAAGGTACAGCATAACCCAGATAAAATTTTATTTTATTTTATTTATTTATTTTTTTCTAAAGATTTTATTTATTTATTTGAGAGAGAGAGAATGAGAGATAGCACGAGAGGGAAGAGGGTCAGAGGGAGAAGCAGACTCCCTGCCGAGCAGGGAGCCCAATGTGGGACTCGATCCCGGGACTCCAGGATCATGACCTGAGCCGAAGGCAGTCGCTGAACCAACTGAGCCACCCAGGCGCCCCCAGATAAAATTTTAAAACAGAAAAAGTACAGAGTAACTCTGTGGACCCAGATGATAAAGAACTGGTGAAGGACAGACAGAACAGTTCAGTTGCTGGATGCTGGGAGAGTGTGGGGGACTGGGGTGCACCTGCCACTAGAGGATCTGGAGAATCGGCAGGGAACCAAGGTTTGGGTGGGAGAAGGAGCAGCTTCGCTGTGGCATCTGAATTGCAATTGCATTAATGTTGTTGGAGAGACAATGGAAGTAAAGATGGGCGGTTGTAGCCGGCCTGTGCCAAGCCTGGGTCTTAGGCTAGCGAGCAGTTGCTTTTATATTTTTATATTTGCCTTTCTTATATGTTCATTTTATTTCTGATTACAAAATAATGTACTAATTATAAAAATTTCTACTTCTCAGCCTCATAACACATATAAATCCACCAAACAGAATGTATTATGATTACTTTTACCCACTCGATACATTATTAATATCTTTCCATATTATTGAGTATTTAAAAATAGCTGCATATACCACCTCTATTAAATTGGTGGCCATGTACGTTACCTCTAAAAGTTTTTCATCATAAATACCACTCATGTGACGATTGTTACAACTCAGTCTTTGCATTTTTATTTGTTTCCTTCCACTCTATTCTGAGGGGGAGATTTATTGCCTGGAAGGGGATGAATATTTGCAAGAGTTTTGAGTGAAATAAGCAACTTACTACTATAGGGTTTAGCTCTAAATTATGTCCTACTACACTACTGTTACCACTGTTTAATTCCATGCATCTCAATAGAAATTTTTAACTTTTCCAAAGCAGTTTCACATTGATTATATCCCTGATTTCGCCCATTAAGGTATGCGATACTTCTACTCTTATCTGAAACTATTTCAGTTAGCTTTTGTGTTTCAGAAGGCAGAATCAGAGCTAAAATGTAAAGGGCTTTAAAAAAAAAAAAAAAAAATCTTAGTTATCCTGAATAGGAACCCTACTATAAGGGTGAATCCTTCATCTGTTCTATTTCAGAGAAAGTGAGCTCTTGGCATCACCTCCCATTCCCGTTTTCCCCCGCCCCTCATTTCCAAATCAGTCACGTTGATATTCAGAGCGTGATGAAAACACCCTGACCCTCATTGTCCTTCCCAAGTAAAATGCTCGTTAAGCCTGTTGTGAGGGTAAAAAGTTAGTAACTCAATTGTACTAGCTGACCACAAATGTCATATTAAGGGCTCTGTAGACACAGTGGGTTGGGGTGGTAGTGGGGCCACAACACCCAATCCTTCTTACTTATGAAATACTGGTTTTCCTCTTTCTTATCAACAGTAGTGTAACCTTTGGCTCAGGTAACAATGAAGCCGGAGACTCTGTGCTTGGAAATCTCAGTTGATAGCTCATCTAATGACACTCTCGGCCCTTTTAAAGAATTACAGTGGAGTCTCTGTGCCAGGAGTCATAGATTCCGATGCCTCCATGGGCCAGGCAGGTTATGTAAGAGAACAGTGCAGGGCAGCTGTTAGACAAGCAGTGATGAATGACGGCTCAGTGAGGGCCATGAAGTAGATGGTGGTGGGGACAGGGGGGCTAACTGGAGAGCATTTATTCTATCTGAAAGAGAAGATGCTCCAGCCAGTCGTTGACATGTGGAAAAGTGGGCCTACTCTTGTTAGAGTTTCTTGTTTACAGGAGACCCTAGAAATCCCAAGTTGTATGGATTTTTTCAACACGTTGGGATTCAAATAAATGTTTTTTTAAACACTGTACCATCCAAGCACAAATGTGACGATAGACTGGGTCTGGCCTCCATATATCTGTTATGGCAGCTTCTATGAGGATTTAGATAAACCTGAAGAGCTCAGAAAATATGTGAGCGCTGTCTCGGGTGTGCACTAGAGCCCAGGATTTAATGAAAGCAAAACAGCCCCACCGAAAGAGGCAGTTTCTTTTAAACTTTAAAAGTCTCTTAGCTCTTTGCTGCATTTGCTGTGAGAATGAAGACTGTTCTCAGCAATCGGACTGTTGATGTTCCAGCAAATGTCAACATCACTCTGCAGGGACACACAGTGATTGTGAAAGGACATCAGTCTCATCAGTGTAGACAGTCTTCTCGGAAGGAGAAAGAAGAGGCTCAGGGTTGACAAACGTGGGGGAAGAGAAAGGGACAGGCTCCTGTTCGCACTACCTATAGTCACGTACAGAACGTGATCAAGGGCATTACACTGGGCTTCCATTACAGGCGGAGGTCCGCCTATGCTCACTTCCCCAGCCATGTCGTTATCCGGAAGAATGGTTCTCTTGTTGAAATCCAAAATTTCTTGGGTGAAAAATACATCCACAGGGTTCGGATGAGGCTTTGCTTGTTCAGTATCTCAAGCCCAGGAGAATGAGTTAATTCTTGAAGGGAACGACATTGAACATGTATCAAATTCAGCTGCTCTGGTTCAGCAGACCACAACAGTTGAAAACAAAGACATCAAAAAAAAGTTTGGATGGTACCCGTGTTTCTGAAAAAGGAACCGTTTGGCAAGGTGATGAATAAGATCGAAGTTGTCCAGTTATAGAAACAGCAAGATGCCAGATGATTCTTCAGACATATTTGTAATATGTTTTAAAATACAAACCATGTATGGACTTTGGGGGGAAAATGTCTTTGAAAACTGTGGGCCTCTAATAAGATGGACTGACCAGTTTGCTGGTCAATGTCAATCTTGGCCCCACCATTTTCTCACCTCCATGCCTCAGTTTCTTCATTTGAGAAATGAATAATTAGTATCTACCTCATTGCATTATGAGGATTAAATGAAACAATTTAGATAAAATGCTAAGTACTCAACGTGTGACTTGACTCCTCCTCACCTTCCTCATCTTCACACCCGGCTGCTACCAGTGTTGACCTAGCCTCCCTCTCTTCTTCATATTCCAGGTTCCTGAGCCCCTTCAACATGATCCTTGGAGGCATTGTAGTGGTGCTCGTGTTCACAGGGTTCGTGTGGGCAGCCCACAACAAAGACATCCTCCGCCGGATGAAGAAGCAGTATCCCACGACATTTGTTATGGTGGTCATGTTGGCTAGCTACTTCCTCATATCCATGTTCGGGGGAGTCATGGTCTTTGTGTTTGGCATCACTTTTCCTTTGTTGCGTAAGTGAACCTCAGTCTTCTTTTCTTATGCCATAAAAAAAAAAAAAATCCATGTAGGAGCGATTGTTCATTGGAAATTTCCTAACCTGTTCTTTATGTGTGTCAACATGTCTGCAAAATCATCAGAATTTTCTGCCACAGCAGATCAAGGCCTGATGGTTCCCTAATTCCACAGATATATATTGAGTGGAATTATATGTAAGAGTGGAATATATATATTATATAGAAGAGTGTCTGCTCTGTACCAGACACTCTTCTGGGGATACAACAATGCACAAAAGAAATACAAATCCCAAGTCCCATGGCAAGAAATTTGCACAGCCTACAACGGCCTCCAGGTTTGTTGAATATTTGAGTCTGTTCTCAATCTTTAAGTGCCATTCATACTGTCATGACACAGAATGAATGTATTTCATTTGGAAGTAAACTGTTTACTCTTTGCTTACTCAGTAGATCACGTTTAGTATCAAAGTGCCCTAAGTGTATAAGAATAATTGGCCCAGGGTGCCTGGGTGGCTCAGTTGGTTAAGCGACTGCCTTTGGCTCAGGTCATGATCCCGGAGTCCTGGGATCGAGTCCCACATCAGGCTCCCGGCTCAGCAGGGAGCCGGCTTCTCCCTCTGACCCTCTCCCCCCTCATGCTTTTTCTCTCTCTCTCTCTCAAATAAATAAATAAAATCTTTAAAAAAAAAAAAAAGAATAATTGGCCCAGAATACAGTTACCAAGTATTCCGATTTTGGTGGAGAGAACTAGGTATTTTCTAAATTTTACATGCATTGTTTACTGAGATCCCAAACACTTGAAACCTGAAATAGAGAACAGATATAATTTCAGTCTCATCAGCAGAAATCTAATTAAAATTATATTATATTAAGTGACAGGAAGATCCCTTTAACTTTCAATAGCATTTCACATGTGCATTTATTTCATTACATAAAATCAGTTGCTTGTTTGGGGTTATGTTAGATTAAGCCCAGAATATTTATGGATGAATCCCACACCTTATTGGACAAAATGTGTGTTTTTGTTTTTAAATATTTAAGTAAACTCTATACCCAATGTGGGGCTCGAACTCATGACCCTGAGATCAAGAGTCGCATGCTCTTCCAACTGAGCCAGCCAGGCGCCCCTTATTGGACAAAATATTTGAATTAGCAAACTCAGACTTTTTGAAATATTCCTGAAGTTTTCCTTATGTGCTAGAGGCTTAGTATTTCAAAGAGTCTGCTTTGACACACAGCTTGTTAACTTCAGTACCTTTCCACATCAGAGCCTGAGACAGACCAGTGTAATGACATAGATCATAGGTAGAAAGTCAAGGGTCCAGATTTCTATTCCTAGACCTGCTGAAAACCAGCCATGTGATCTGGACCAGGTATCCTATATGGGTTGCAGTTCACTCATCTATAAAATAAGGAAATTAGACAGGATTCGTGACTCCTAGACCTTGATGATTGTCAAAATCATACAGGACACTTTTAAAAAATACGGATTGCCCAGCCAGATCCCTTAGAGATCTTGATTCTGTGAGTTGAGAGTGGTCCTCCCAAAACCTGTATTTTTAGAAAGCTCCTCAAGTGTTTCCAAAGGCCAGTCTAGATTGGGAGTCTCCAGATATAATGCACATCAGTGTTTCTCAAAATGAGGGTCCAAGATTACATATATGAGAATCATCCAGAGTGAATATTGGCTTTTTACATCGTGGAGCTTTACCTCAGTCTTACTGGTCTGAATTTTGGGTGGTGGAGACCTGGAATTTGCCTCTTTTTAACAGGCTCTCTAGGTGATTTATATGTGCACAGGAGTTTGAAAATCAGTGCTGTGCCTATTTAAAATACAGATTCTCAGGCCCATCCCTTTATGGTTCTGGTTCAGGAGGTCCAGGAGAGGGGCCAGGGAATGTTTCTTAGTAAACAGACATGACTATAAGTGATGAAGCAAATTTGGGGAACCTTGAGGTACCTGAGATCTATAAAACCGTTAGTTCTTATCTGTACATCTATATCCAGCACTTTGGAAAACTGCCCCTCGGGAGGCACATCCTAGGTGGACTTCACTTGCATGCTTCCTGCAGGAAGATAATCTGTGAACTGAGCATGAGTTCCTTTCTGGAAAACTTTGTGTAAGTCGGTTTTTATGTAAATTGGAATCCTGTTGGTTCACTGAAGTTCAAGGCATTTAAGTAGCAGCAGAAAGTTAACAAATCAACAGGAGGGAGTGTGGTTGCAAGATTAGGGTCCTTCCTGCTGAATACGTTTTCCTTCACACACAAAGAAAACTTAATATGTGACTTTACGAAGAAGAGCTTTAGACCAAGTCCAAGGATCCCTTTGAGGACTTGGATCAGTTAGAGAACCGGACTTGTCTTCAGTTAACTGAGGCGGTTTCCCCAAAGTGTGAAGACAGGGAGCTTAAGGTTGAGGCGGACAAAGAATAGTTGCTTCTGTGCTAACCAGGTTTCACTTCCCCACAGTGATGTTCATCCACGCGTCATTGAGACTCCGGAACCTCAAGAACAAACTGGAGAATAAAATGGAGGGAATAGGCTTGAAGAGGACACCGATGGGCATTGTCCTAGATGCCCTAGAACAGCAGGAAGAAAACGTCTCCAAAATCGCTGACTATATCAGCAAAGTGAAGGAGTAAATACCGCTGACCTGCTGATAGGGCTGTGGCGGACATCAAGTTGCAGTTTGCCCTTATCCAGACCTACTTCCCGTTTGTGTTCTCGAACTAGGAGGCGCCTGTACCATCCACCTATCTGGGGCAGCATGCATGTATAGGCCCAACTGTTAACATCTCTGAGGTTCCAGAGAGAAGCCCTCAGAACCTGCAAGAAAATTGCCCTCCTATTATGCCTGAAGTTTCCAGTGTGTTTATGCAAACAGATAGGAAATGGATCACACTTATTTCTGTAGAGAAATAAAAGAAAAAGAATTTTGCATTGTAGAGCAACAGTACGGTTAGCTTGTGGGGAAAAAACTAATTGTAAAGTATCAAGGCAATATAAATAAATGAAAAAAAAAAACAAACCCAACTGTTAAAGTAGATGTCACGCGTTAGCCTGTTTTGATCCTGCTCCCACCCCCCCACCCCAGCATCCTCCTCCAAAAATATTCCCTGGGACTATAATATGTGAGTCTAAACTAGTTTAGCTTTTAATTACTTTTCTTTTAAAATCAAAGATGATCTGTATCACTCTGCCGCCTGTTTGACATGCAGTGGAAACTGGATAAACCAGTTGTTTTTATTTTGTTTACAAATATAAAGAGAGCTGTTTAGGAGAATATTTTGTCAAATTTTTGTAAATTTTTGAAATGCTAGTAATGCCTTTTCACTAGCAGGTATTTTGTTGCAACCTAAATGTCACCTTCTTTAAGGTTATAGCTACATAACCTATATTATTCTTGACAGTCTTGTCAAAAAAAGCAAGTTTGTTGTTTTGACAAAAAGGTGTCCAAGATAATGTTTCCTACATTTTTTTCACTGTTTAGTTTTTAACTGGAACGTTTGGAAAGAAGGAAATCAATGTACATTGTTTTGATTTCTTCGGGGCACAAAGAGAACAATAATTGTTGGTCTTTTGAAATCTGAAAGGCATCTATAGATGACCAAGCAAAAAGACTTATGAAAATGGGAGTCATCAGTGGCTTCTGCACTTCATAAAAATTTTAGATAGCAATGGTTACAACTGTATGTTTTTACAGATAAGGCATTAGAATCAAGATAGCATGAGTGTGTATATCCTGTTACTTTCTTCCTTTTATTTCTCCCGTATTTAGAAATAGATGATACAAGATGTTTTGCTTGCCAACTGAGTGATTTCATAGATGAATAGAAAACGTTTGGGTTTCCCTAACACTGAATTATGAAGACAACTGGAGCAGTACTTCCTGAAAAGACTCTCTGTACGTCCTAAAATAAGAAGCAACAGCATATGTTCCTCCTGCTTTGTCTTGCATTTTAATTTCTCAGCCAACCTGCAGCCTTCCTTTCTAGTACAGCGACAGCACTGTGACTTCATAGACATGGTGTAGAGTTTGTACCGTTACCCAAATATGGAGAATAAAATTTATCAAAGATTTTTATTGGTGAGACTTTGTTTAATGCACATCTGTTGTGAAATCTCTGGGATACTTGGTGCCAGCCCTCTAAATGATGAGGACGTGCTGTACGGCAAAAACCACTCAGATCGTGTCTCAGATCAGTAGTCTCTCCCCGCCCCCCAGCCCCCCATCCGTGCTTTTGCTTTCCATGGTTTCAGTGACCTGCAGTCAGCCTCTGTCCAGAAGCAGATGATTGTCCTTCTGACACATCCTCAGGAGATCAACGGTAGATAAATACTACGTCACAATGCCTACTCCATTCCTCTCACTTCATCTCCACAGGAGACATTTTCTCATCTCAAATCATCACAGAAGAAGGGTAAGTACGTTCAATAAGATAATTTTGAGAGACTGCATTCACATAACTTTTATTGCAGCATATTATTATTATTATTGTTCTAGTTTATTATCAGTTTTTGTTGTTAATCTCTGTGCCTGATTTATAAATTAAACTTTGTTGTAGGTGTGTACAGGAAAAAAACAGTGTATATATAGGGGGTGCAGTACTATCTGTGGTTTCAGGCATCCACTGGGGTTCTTGGAACATATCCCCACTGGATAAGGGGTTGGGGGGAGACTATGGTACTGTTTAATAATACTTTAATACTTTATTAATTGCCAGCCAGAATAAAATTGAATCCCAACGGGATCCTTTTTTAAACCTGACATATTTGAGCCCTTTCCATTTTCTACACGAATTCTGTAGACGGAGTGCAATCTATTTGGAAAAAGTGACAACTTAAATAAAAAATATACTCATTATAATTACTAATGGTTGGTGGTCAATTCTGGAAGGAAAATAATATAAAAATGTAGCATGTAAGAGCTGTAAATTATTGCATTTTAAAAAACAAGTTAAAGGGCGCCTGGCTGGCTTGGTCAGTGGAGTGTGCGACTCCTCCTTGATCACAGGGTTGAGTTCACTCTGGGTTCTCCATGTCCTATGCCTCCTTGCTCTGCTCCTCACAGATATGTTCTGCTTCCGAAGTACGACGCGCCAGGGGAATGTCCAAGAGAGCAAACTAAACAGGGTTGGAAACTGAAAATCCCACCTGCTTCTCCAGAGAAGAGCTAACGAACAGTTCCTCCATTTCAGAGCATCGGCATTGAGCATGGAGCTCAATTCACCCCTCACATTTCCACAGAGTGAAACACGATCAGTGCCACGAATTACAGTAGGAGATGGAGGAAGAAATATTTAACACTTCTATAGTATTTATTGTTATTTACCAGAAGAAAGCAAGAGGAAAACAAATGTTTATGGGGAAAAACTTTTTTCGTTTCTTAAACTGCTGTTGCTGGAAGTACGACTAAATTTTACCTAAGTCACTCAAATGGATTGGAAGTAGAAAATGTTGTCCCAGAATAGTAATTTTTTATCTCCTTCCCCCTTCCTTGTCAGCCCCTCATTTTGCCTCTGCCTTTACAAAATCCTCCTGTCAGACGCCTGCCTTGTTCCCAGTTCCACCACCTGGCTCCAGAAGTATGCTGCTGAGACGGTCTCCAAGCTCTGACCCAAATCATTGTCTCAATTCCTTGTTCTTCTAAAGTATTCTGTTGCCACTTACGCCAGTTCTTTTGGCAGTTGCACCTGTGGATTGAGGTAGTTGAAGAAAAGGGGAAAAAATTAATCCTGGAAATTCAAGAGTTTGGCAGCAAAAACAACAAAATTACATGCGTCAGAAGTTGCAGAATGGATGAGAAATTTGGGCCAGAGAGCCTCCCAAAGCATAATAGAACAACAGTAACAACTACGTCCACCACTCCTGGGGCATTTAGTGATGCCAGGGACTGATCTAAGGGCTTAAGCACATGGTAAAGCATATCATAAAAACAAAAGGGCAGATGCTGGAGTCTGCCCGGTTCAAATCCTGGTACCAGTATTCCTAGCTGTGTGGGGCTGGGCATCAATTTTCTCGCTGTAAAATGACAGTAACAGTATGTGTCTAATGGACAAGGCTACTTTAAGGATTACGTGATATAGAACAAGTTAGTAAGCAACGCCACACTTCGAAAACATCTCATTTTATCCTACAATAGTCTTGTGAAGAGGGGACAGGCTCGGAGAGAAGATTAGTTAGGGTCAGAGCAGGATTTGAACTCAGATCTGCCTGATTTCAGGACCCAAGCCTTAACCACAAAAAAAAAACAAAAAAACCCACCACAAGAGTATAAAATATATGTTCTTTTATAAACTGGTCTTTCCTATTTGAAGCACATTCCTAATTTGAAACTCACTTAAATTTAAAAAACAAAATATTTGGAGAAGCCCCAAGGGCAAAAAAAGTTACCAAAGAGTAGCCTGACTGCCAATTAACTTTCAGGTTTATTTCAAAGGGACAACTTAAAGATAAGGCAAGTTCTTAAACAGTTGCAAGTGGTGTCACATCTTAGGAGAGTGACTTATCATCATGCAGGGACCTTCCAGAGGACACTGAAGAAGTACAGAGGACACTCAGAGTTTGTATAATAATGACTAAGATGACTGCACCTTTACAGGGCTCAACCATGGAGAACACAAAACAGTGAAGAACACCAGTGAGCCAAAAATACAATGCCAGGTAGTTAAAATAACTACAACGCTGCAGCAAATAATTAAAACAGTGTGTTCTTTGTATTGTTGAATGGAAAAAAAAAAAGCATTTTTATATAATGCTATTCCACATACATGTTTATATGCAGGGGAGGGATCCAAATTAATAAAAATATTTTAAAAAGCAAAATGTGGCACTGACCCAACATAGTAAAGCCAGACACACATTGACATATTTAAAATATGACCAAGCTGGCAATTCAGATCCCTGTGAACAAGAATGAATCATGGTTAGCTATCATTGGTCAGCTATTTGGAAAAGAAATAACAAAGTGGGCTTCTTGCTCCCTACTTCTAAAATTTAACTCCCTAATTCATCTGTAGTATGGAATGTTTTCTTAAAAACCAAAAACTATAAAAGCAGCAATAAAAGATGGGCAAATATTTTAGTAAGTTTCAAAAGAAACTGCCATTTCTAAGCAGAACACAAAAGACAGAAATCAGAAAGGAAAAGAGAGCTAGCCTTGATGTTCTAAATATATAAAACTTACAAACACATGAGAATCAGCTTACAGTACTGTCAGGGGCCCTGTTCCCCCTTCACTGGTTGGTTAAAATTAGTTTAAGAGAAGTGTGTGTGGATAGCATCAAACAGGGCACCCACGTGTATACACTCACAGAGACTGGGGCAGGAAGAGAAGATCCATCTCAGCAGGGGCTATTTCATTTGGTGTATCAAGTTGAATTCCTGCTCTCAGTCAACGCCTCAGTGGGTGTCCAGGAAGAGATAAGGAAGGCCTACTCTGAGGAATTCCAAATTGACTAGGAGACCCACACTATACCCATTAGGGTGCTCAACCTGAAGCAGAATGAGGGAGATGCTTTAAGAGAGGTAGAGATGAAGGGTCATGGAACTATAAAGGGAGCATATTCACTACTGATGATTTGTTTGGTTTCTTTTGCTGTAAGAAGTCCTATTTGAGCCAAGCCTGTTTGGATAGCTTTCAACAGATAGAAATAGAATTAAAGGTCATTTGAGCAGAGGGCATGGAGGCAAGAAAAGAAGACCCTTCAGGGGAAGTATCAGGAGATGTGGTTTGCCCTGGGTGTCACACAGTTGTGGTTTTGTCAGTGTGGTGTCCACATAAGCAGCATCAGCATCACCAAGGACCTGGAGAGAAATGGAAATTCTCAGGCACCATCCAAAATCTAATGAATCAGGAACTCTAAAGATGGGCTCAGGAATCTGTACTCAGCCTTCCAGCTGATTCTGATGCATGCTAAAATTTAAGAATCACTATCACAGACTTCAGAAACGTTATACACTATAAACTCTTTTTCCCACTAGGTATTAGGAAAAGGCAGTTCCTACGCTGTGCAATTCTGGTCAACATATGCTCTTTCAAGAGGAGTTTGAAATGTTACATAGCTCTTTCCCATGGGGATTTCTTTTATAAGGAGCTAATGGGACACATAAAATAAGGAACAAAAAAATGGGGGGGGGAAAGTCGTTGAAGACAACTCTGGGGCTTTAGACCCGAATGTGTGAGAGAAGGGAAAGAACAATGAACACAGGGAACCAGAAACACAAGTAGACCTCAACTCAAGAGGTTGTCTGGGGAAAGACTGAACGAAAGAGCTAAGAAAACCCCAGTGATCTAAGCGGAAAGAGAGATCCGGGGGGGTGTCCTAGATTATGTGACAACTGAAACAAAGGGCAAAGATAAAATGGGAAAGAGGAGGAAATTGCAAAAGTATAGAATCCAGAAATCCTCAAGGGAAAGAAGATCTTGTTAATGAGGCAAAGACATGGCCAGAGATGGAAATGAAGACTCAAGATTCTGTAACGCCCCATTTTGTAATCATAACAACTGCTGATACGTCATGGAGTCTTTTGGCCAACTAAGGCTGCTTTTGATATTCTTAAACTAAAGTCTTTCCAAAGGCGACATTTAGCTGTGTTTTCAGGCAACTGAGCATAAGCAATCCAGATATACATAGGTGAGCCCAAAGTGAAATTGAGTGAATGTTAAACTCCCTTTTTTGATCGGCACTAAAGCTTGCAGGTGATATAAATGCATTTGGCCTCAGTGAATGAAATGATTGTTGCAGATGGGATCTTATTTCAGGGAGAAGTACAAAGACCCATCTAGGATGGTAGGCAGTGAATGGCCCACAAAATTTTTCAGGATGAAAGGAAATCACACATTTGCCAGGGAGGGATAATCCTGTACAAGTCTCATGTCTTTGTTTCGGGCTGGTATCATATTGACTCCGATATTAACTTATTGGGAAATGAATTTGTGATTACCTAATGATTTCACCTTGTTAAACAAGACAGAGAGTTTAAAAACACACCTAAAAACAAGAAAAAAACAGATTGAAAAAATTCTACAGGAGCCAAGTAAGTAATGCAAATGAGGGAAACAGGCCAGGTGTTAGGCAGTAGGGCATGGTGGAGACTGAGAGAAACTGGAGAGTCCATCACCTATCTCAAGGGAGAAGCCAAATGCCAGATCCAGCTGACTCATGCCATGCAAATGCAAGCCCACTGTGGCCAGCTCTGATGTTTCAAGTGGTGCCAGATATCTAAATGTTATTATGTGATATTTTAAATTTTGTACAATATCCAAGCCAAACACTCCAGGCCTGCAGATGTGGCTGATAGTCTGCCAGTTCTCCATACCTGGCCCACAGAATACATCTCTCTTAAATTGGTTAAATGGGCAGCTTCCTGGAGGAGGTAGTATTTATTTATTTATTTATTTATTTATTTATTTATTTATTTATTTTTAAAGATTTTATTTATTTGACACACACAGAGACAGTGAGAGCAGGAACACAAGCAGGGGGAGTGGGAGAGGGAGAAGCAGGCCTCCCGCAGAGCGGGGAACCCGACGCAGGGCTTGATCCCAGGACCCTGGGACCACGACCTGAGCCGAAGGCAGACGCTTAACAACTGAGCCACCCAGGCGCCCCGAGGAGGTAGCATTTAAACCAAGCAAGTGTACAGATTTTCCTTTATTCTTTGCTATCAACTTCATTTCAAGAATCTCAGGCCAGAAGCATGGCATGGGGAGAGAACAGGCATTGAAATGAAAAAATACAATTAAAAAATATAAACGGACTGCTTGATGGGATATGTTTTGCTTATGCAAAAATACCATTTGCAAGTCCATGAGAGGAAAATAGAAAACAAAAAGGAAAACAAGACTAGCTAAGACTAAATAATTTGTAAGTATGTTTTTGGACATTCAAGATTCTAGTTAGGAGCCTCTGTTTTTAAAAAATCACAACAAAAATGAAATCTTGCCATTTGTAATGACGTGGATGGAGCTAGAGGGTATTAGGCTAAGCAAAATAGTCAGAGAAAGACAATTATCGTATGATCTCACTGATATGTGGAATTTAAGAAACAAAACAGAGGAGCATAGAGGAAGAGAGGATAAAATAAAGCAAGATGAAATCAGAGAGGGAGATAAACCATAAGTGACTCTTAATCATGGCAAACAAATTAAGGGTTACTGGAGGAGAGGGGGTAGGGGGATGGGTCACTGGGTGATAGACATTAAGGAGGGCACGTGATGCAATAAGCACTGGGTATTATACAAGACTGATGAATCACAGGCCTGTACCTCTGAAACCAATAATACATTATATGTTAGTTAATTGAATTTAAATTAAAAAATATTTTTAAAAATCACAACATTTCAAAATTATGCTTTAATTTTAACCTCCTACTTGAAAACCCAGGGGTTTGGAGGGCATCTCTGTCCACAGCACAAGAGGGGGAGAGAACAACCTAAAAACCTTTAGTTTCACTTTTCCAAAGTGAGTGCTGTTATGTCTCATTTGACTGGCTAAAAATATCCCTTTCTGCTGGGACTTTGCCATATCATCACCAATGTCGTTTTCAATATCTCACTCGGTCTAAGGGGCACATTTTGTGACATTTCCACAGCCCCCAAATCAGAAAGCATTTTACAATCCGTAAGCTTTACAACAGCTGACTGCAGATTCAAGCACGAACACACCACGGCCTTCCGCACTATCAGCACTTACATTAATTACACACGCAGATGTATTGCCATTTAGAGTAGCTTTTTAAAGAATGACAAAACCAACTTGACAAAATGTGATGGGTACGTAACAACTTTTTGTACTGTTTTTGAACTTCTGCAAGTCTCAAATGATTTCAAAATAAAAAGACTGTCTTTTAAAAAGATCACACTATGATTCAGCATGAAAGCAGAAATTTATTATGTAGCAAGGCACACAATTTGATCAGTGGGGAACAAAGGGTCATTAGTGAAGTGAATCTTGGTCAGTGGGATGATGCATTTGCACATTTTTTTTTTTTTTTTTGCGGAGCATCTTACAGGACTAACTGGATGAAGTTGTGTGACATTCTCTATCTTAAGTACATGCAAGGAGACGTCTCTCACAGGCCAAGCCAGGCAGGTAAAAGGAGAGATTGCCAATCCCTTGGAACAGATGAAAGACATTTCAAAGCAGAGGTTGATATGCAAGACCATCATTCAAAAATCATGTCAGAGTTTGCTTTGAAGCATGTTCCTTTCTTAGTGGACATTAAGCACAAACAAAACACAGTTTAAAATTGATAGCAGTTTAGAACTAATTGAAAATTAAAAATGTAGCAATTAGCCAGGGATTACGTTTTTGTCATTATCCTCATAAATTTATTTTAATGTTTTTTGTTCTAGAATCTCAACTCAAAGTTGAAGTGTTTTCAGTTGACTAAAAGGCAGAGTGTGCTGACTGTGGAAATCACAAAACCAAGACCCTAAGTTCGGTGAGGTCAAGACTGTGCCTGTCTCATTCACCGCTATATCCCTGCCCCTCTGATGGCACCTGACATGCAGGTGCACAACGAAAGTATACGCTACAGTAACGAATAAGTGAATGGGTAGAATGAAACAGACTCCAGGGTAAGCAGACTTGCTCAGTAGAACACTCCCTCGGAAGGCAGGGAATTGGGTCAGATAATCATCTGAACTTCATTCTCTCTTCTACTCTGAATCCACAGGCCACCTCTAATGTAGATTTTTTAAAAACTTCTCTTAGGGCACCTGGGTGGCTCAGTTGGTTAAGTGTCCCGACTCTTTTTTTTTTTTAAGATTTTATTTATTTGAGAGAAAGAGAGAGAGAGAGCGCGCACACTAATGGGGGGAGGGGCAGAGGGAGAGAGAGAAGCAGGCTTCCCGCTGAGCGAGGAGCCTGACGCAGGACTCGATCCCAGGACACTGGGATCATGACCGGAGCCAAAGGCAGATGCTTAACCAACTGAGCCACTGGGGCATCCCAAGTTTCTGACTCTTGCTGTCAGCTCAGGTCGTGATCGCAGGGTCATGAGATCGAGCCCAGCATCCAGCTCTGTGCTGGGCATGGAACCTACTTAAGATTCTCTCCCTCTCCCTCTGCCCCTCCTCCCCCTGCATGCACTCTCTCTCTCTCTCTCAAAAATAAATAAATAAAAATTAAAAAAAAAAAAACCAACTCCTCTTCAGTCTTTTCAGACTGTTATTTTCTGATGGTACAGCCTCCCAGGCAGCTTGGATATGCTTTACCAGTGACTGGTTACACAGTGACAGAGCTAGTTTCTCTCAAATCAACACCCCCATCCACCCCCCTACAGGGGTCTGGCTGCCTGGAGAAGAGCAGGTGCCGAAAATCTTGATGTAGTACCCAAAGGGCAGGCAAAGAACTCTTGCCTGACCTCAGAGGACCTTCTAGTGTTCTCACCCCGGCTTCTACCCTAGGAAGAATCAGAATCCCTGTACGACATAGTGGAAAGTCTTCTTTGATTGAGAAGAATGGAATGCTGTCAATTCTGCATAACCAGGAGATGAGAATAAGGAATATACATCTGTGTAACACATCTTGAAGAAATTGTGACTCCCTATGATGAAATAAGAGATGGACTATTTTGGCTAAATTACACACTAGATTTTAAAATAATACAGTTCATTATCAACTACCTGTGACTTTTGGACATACTCCTTTCAGATTCCATAAATGCTATCATAGTAATGACAAAACTATTATTTCTTCAATTTTACCTGCAAGGAATAACACATTTTCATGTATCAGCAGCAGTTAATCGTGGATTACTGTAAACATTAAAGCTGAAATAATAGTCAAAACTCCATTAATTCATGGTGATGCTAACCTGAAGTTTACCATTTGTCTGTCCACCTAAAAAAGTGAAGAGTATATGAGTGCAGTTGCAGGTAGTCTCTCTTCATCTACTAAAAAAGAACCAACTATTTTTAAACATTTTGGAAGCACTCAGTTACTTACAAGTGATGGGCCTAATTTAGGCTTTGTCCTTTATTATTCCCACAGCAAGTTCCTCGAGATCTCTGAAGGTCAGCTCTGTGGCTGGGATAGATAAACGCTTGACCCTGGGCCTGGAGCCGAATTTCAATGTCAACTCTACCTCTTTCTAGCTCTCTTTCCTATACATGGTATTGAACTTCTCTAAGCCTCAGTTTCTCTTTTATAAAATGGGGAGAATAATAATACCTACGTCATAGGGTTGTTAAGATGATGAGTTAATTCATATAATGCATCTGGCCTATAGTAAGTGCTTAATAGATGCTAGCTATGAATATCACTGTTATAAAGTTGTCTAGATGTATGCACATCCTTGGAGCTAATTAGTAATTTTGGTTCCCTGGTAATGCTGATGGGCTTGCTCCAGTTAGTCACCACTAGTGAGACTCTCCATGTGTTAAAACAAGCAGGGGGAGAGGTGTGATACACGGGAGCTGGTTCACCATTTCTCCTTCCCTCTACTTACGGGCTTAAGATAGGCGACGTTGCTGTGACGAATGTCATTCAAGAGCTGATCTCTGGGAGTGATTTCTACCAACGGGGGTGGCCTATTTCTCGGCACCGGTTTGAGCGTTCTGATGACATCTTTGAGGTTGGTCTTCTCAGGTGGTTCTCTGGCCTCGGGCATCCGAGACTTGCGCTGGATCCTCTTCAGCTTCACCACTCGGAAGGAGTCAGGGTCCGTCCTGTACTTCGGAGGCTGTGACGGCTTCATCATTTCATTCTGTCGACCGAAGGGGGCCGCTTGGGGGTTGGGAGGCTGAGGAGGAGGTTGGAGAAACTCCCGCATCCTGGGATCGGGCATGGGTCCCCCCAACCTCTCCCACATTCCAGGTGGCAGCCCCAACCCGTTCTCCAACATGGCTATCAACTTCCTCTGCTCTTTGAGCTGCTGCTGCTTCTGTTCCTCTTGTCTTTTCTGCCGTTGCTTGTCCTGATTCCTGGTGAGCAGATTGGTTACCACCATTCTGGGACCTGGGAGCTCAAAATGGTAGCCCATCTTCAGGAGAGTGGTGTTCGCCTTCAAGAGCCGGGAGATTTCCATTTCGGCTTGGTGGCCCAGCATGTGTCTTTGATTGTGAAACCGAAGCTCGGTGAGCGTCTCGTTGAACTGGAGGCACCGCATGATGGCCACAATTCCTTTACCTGTGATGAAATTGGACTCGATGTTGAGAGTGGTAATGCTCCTATTTTCCCGCAGCATGTTCGCCAAGGCGAACGCGACGTTCTCGTCCGCGCCCACGTTCGCTAAGCTGAAGGTTTTGATGTGTTTGTTTTTCTTCATTGCATTGACAAAGTCCAGTAACATCTCCTTGGGGATGTTTTCAATGTTGTTCAGGTTGAGCTCCTTCATGTCGGGGTCATTCTGTCTAACGCGCCTCAAGCTCCCATCCAGGTCTGTTTGGTTTCCCGAAGGCCTTGCACTCACTTTTAGAAAGCTGGTATCTAGAGTTAACTTCTTGGGATCTAGTTTTGATATTTTTTTCTCACCTTTTTCTTGGGCCTCTGGTCTGTCTTTCTGTTCTCCAAATGCCTTTACTTGTGGGCGGCTGCTCTCGCCATTTCTGATCTGCTCCCTTACCTCACCTTGCACTCCTCTTTGTGGCTTTTCCACACTCTCCTCGCTGTCATCTTCTCCTTCCTCATCTTCATCCTCCTCATCCTCATCGTCTCCTTCATCTCCTTCAGCATCAGCATCATCGGTTTCTGGGACATCGTCGCTGCCTTTTGATTCTCTCTTATTTGCAGCGATTTCATTGTTGAGCTTTTCTTTTAAATACTGGGACCCATTTTTATTACCTTTGTCTACTTCTTCATGCTGCTTTTGAGTGTCCACCTAAAAGAGAGGTTTATGTGGGTTAGAACGCATGGCAATGGAGAAACAGGAAGCAGAGCAGTTGCTACCAGAAATAAGAGATTTATTAGGAAGTGAAAAAAGTAAGCAAATAAGTGGTGTATGTAGTATCCATTTGTGTGCATATACATATATAAAAACGCATATACAACATATAAAAGTGTATAAATGTATAAGAAAAACAAGTCTGTTGTAATGTTGATGCAATTAGTACTTCTCTCTTAGAAAGAGAGGGAACCATTCAGGTAACTGGGAAGGGTGTGGCGCCTGGCCGGCTCAGCTGCTGGAGCACGTGACTCCTGATCTCAGGGTTGTGAGTTCAAGCCCCACTTTGGGTGTAGAGATTACTTTAAAAATAAAATCTTAAAAAAAAAAAAAAAAGATGACCAGGGAGGGGACACATTTGGGGGATTTTCAGTTTTTACATTATATAATTCTAAAGTGTTTGAATGTTTTTTTAAAAACAAGATACACATATTAGTTTTGTAAAAGCAAATATAATCTAAATAAAGATGAACTTTTATAGCCATCCTACAGATACATACAAACACATACTTTCTGGTTGTCTTTATCTCATTCCATATGGTAAAATGAAACCTAATTTTGGTTTTGGGTTCTGTATTGTTTTTTAAAATGGTGTTCAATTCTAGAAGTGGTCCAAAAATTATTTGCTTTGGAAACGTTATGGAGTTATTGGTCAATACACTGAAGTCTTTGTTTTATATATAGCCAAATAGGCATTTTTGTGTTCAATAGTCCTGGGTTACACAATTTACTTGTTGCCCTAAATAAAATTTACATTCCCAGGATATCTGCTAATCTAGTATAATGTGTATATCAACTTTCCCTGAAAACATAATATATTGTGGGGAAAATGAGAGCACTATGATACCCTGAAATATACCAAAGACCTAGACTTGGATTTTTTGTCTCCTCAGCTCTGTGACAACAGTCCTGACTACTCCAAGGACAGGATCACAAGTCCAGTTTCTTTTGAAACGAAGTATCTAGGGGGCAGTGCCAGCTACAAAAGAGGGCGGGATTATACAGACATTTAGAAACAATTGCTTAGTCTAGAAAGAAATTAGCAGTCTCTAAACAATGACCTTTATTAGATTCTTGCCCATCAATTAGTGTGCTTTCCTATACCGCATGTGTACCTCATAGGTGTCATTTCGAAAGCTGGTGTAGCATTTTCAAGCAAGAACTTGATCTTCTTGCTTACAACATATTGTAGGTTGGAAGCGACAGTTGACAACAGTCATCCTAACCACCTTAAAGCCTTCCCCACTGCATTTCTCATCTGTTCCAGCAGGGGGAGCCAATCATCAAGCTGTGTAAATTATACCAAGGAAAGAAAAAGTGTTCCAAGTACCCAATTTACTTTTTCTGAAATTTGCATTCGGATAGAATTAGTTTTTACTCCAATTGTATAATATGTTGACTCCAAATATCTGCAGATTGTATCTTTAACTCCAACCTGACCAAACTAGCAATTTCTTAAGTTTAGTATGCATTAGTACACGTTTAAACTCTTCTGACCATGAAACCAGTTTATAAGTTTCCTTAATTACAGCCAGCGTGAGAGCAATGTGACAAGATATAGCTGTACCAGCAGGCATAAGTTAAAGAGTCTTTACCTGTGGGGATCTTGGTCTTCCTTTGGCTGTGTCATTTTTAAGTGGAACATTAAAAAAAAGTATGCTGATATATAATAGGTTCATAGATTCAACCACAACTCTAGTGTTCATATAAGAAATATATTTCAGAAAGAAGGTCTTTACAACAACCATCTAATAGCTATCAATTTCTAAATGTACTACTGATATCCAATAAGCTGTGTTAATATGGAATTTGGGGGGTCATTTAACTTGGTTGAACTGCAGGTTATATGGTAGGACTTCAGAGGGGCTGTGACACCCTTGCAGTTGTACGTGAAATACTGCCTATGAATGTATAAGCAGAAGGAGGGGTACAGAGCTATCATCAGCTTCTTAGAGCAGCCTTTGTGCCAAAAAAAAGGAGTTAAGGACAAATGCTTATAGGTTATGAGTTAATTCATTAAGTATCCTGTCTGTAGAATCAGGCTTTCTTACACAGTGAACCCCACAGCCATTTTTTTTAAAGAGCCATTTAGGGGCACCTGGGTGGCTCAGTCATTAAGTGTCTGCCTTCGGCTCAGGTCATGATCCCAGGGTCCTGGGATCGAGCCCCACCTCGGGCTCCCTGCTCCACGGGAAGCCCGCTTCTCCCTCTCCCGTTCCCCCTGCTTGTGTTCCCTCTCCCGCTGTGTCTCTCTCTGTCAAATGAATAAAATCTTTTAAAAAAAAGACATTTACACAAAAACTACCACTTTTCCTTCCCAGTTATACCATGTAAGTGTTTCAGGAAGTTCCAATCTGACATCAGATTAAATGTTATGATTTAATCTAGCAGTGGCCACCAAACAAGACCAAACATGAAGTCTTGAGAAATGATAGTTGCCCCATGGACACCTGTCGCTCGGGCCCAGGCAGCCGTTTCTCTGCTGTACACAAATCCCTGATTACCTGGGATGGCACAAAGGTGACAGGGACACGTTCGTCTTCCAGCATGCGTCTGGATGCCTTTTGCCAATACATATAATCCATAAGAGACTTATGGTCAAAGTTTCCCGTGGGTGGCTTGTCAGTCTGATCCTTCTGAATCATTCCCACGGGAAGCCTGGGGTCAGGGGCCATCACTTCCATTTCCGACTGCAGTTTTCTCAGCTCTTCGGGGGACAAGTTGGCCAAGATTTCATCTTCATCAATCTCCTCGTCAAAGAGTTCTTCTTGATCTGAATTTCTGCTGTGTTCTGACATGATTTTTTTCTCCTATATTTTTCTCTGTTACTAGAAAAGAAGAAATAATCAGACTCTCAAAATATTAAAAAACTCTCAAGGAATCCCCCCAGTGAACAAATATTCCAGGTTAACACTACTTGAAGAGATCTTCCCCCAAGGATCCCAGTGGTGTGTGCTGAGCAGCTAGGCAGGGGACTACAGCTAAGCTCACGCTGTATCTATATTAAGCAGCGCTAGGCTGGATTGGGTCAATTTATGAAACTACTGTGCCGCTCTCATTTTGGCAACTTGAGTCAGCTGTGCAAATCCATCTGACATTTTAGTGCAGCTGCTGAGGTCTGCCAGTGAGTAACAGGTCTAGAGAAAATCTACAGGAATAAAATCAGTGCTCTTCCTATATACTGTCATACCCTAATGCATGCAGCCCACACACACATACCCCAGCACTACAGGGGAGACCACGTCTTTTTATTTAGATGACTAAAGCAACTTACAGGATTTTGGAAGGAAGATCACGACTAGAGTTCTACGGAAGTGAAAATTTCACTTGTGGGTGGAACTCGAGCTCTCAGGGCTTCCCTCTTCACTCCAGTGTGACTCTGGAAGCAAACCAGCACACAGCACAGCAGAGGTCTGGCTATTTACTCATTCCCAGCGTAAGCTGAACCTTTGCAAGACGTCCTTATTTGCATCTAGATCCTGTGATCTAACAGATGAGGACAACCAGCACTTGAATTTCCACTACAAGCGAGGAGTCTAATATTGTAAATAATTTGTTTTTCTTACTAAGTATCCATTAAGCCAGGATAAATTAAAGTGGATCACAAATGAACTGCAACAAAACCCCAAACTGTTAAAGTGCTGGAAGAAACCATGAGAGGATTTTTTTTTAATATATCCTCAGAGGGCAATATTTATCCAAATGACAAATGCACATTATTTTTTGACCCAGCAATTCCTCTTTTGGGAATGTATCCTATAGATATACTGTAGATAGGGGTGAAATGACAGGTGCACAGAATTATTCAATATAACCGTATAGAATGGTATGTATTGTATGCTGTTATTTGTATATAAGGGGTAAAAGAATATAGGCATATATACAAATTTTATCAACATAACAGATCCTTGGAAAGATATACAAGAAACCATTACCCTCAACACTTTTGGAGAGAGGAGCAGCTTGTCTGGGAGACAAGACTAGGAAAGACCTTGTTAACTGTATACCCTTTCATAATTACCAACTTTGGGACTTTATGAATATAATGCTTAGTTAAGCATTTAATGCTTACTTCAGTGCTTATCCAATGCTTATTTGTACATTTATTGTACAAAGCTTAAGATAACACAGGGAAGTATAAAGAAAATAAAATTTTTCTCTTATGTCATCACTAAGAGCTACCACTATTAATATTTTGGTTCATCATTCTAGTCCATTCTTCCAGGATATGAACTAAATAATCTTTTGTCATCTGTTGTTTTTTTTTTTGACTTACAAAAATCAGGATTTTTCTGTAGCATTTTTTTCTAACTACATAATTTTTAATAGCTCTCTGTTAAGACTCTTATATGGATATACCATAATTTATGTAAGCAATCCCCAACTGTTGAATATTTGAACTGTTTTCAATTCTCACAAGCACAAGGAGTTCTTTAATAAACATCTCCTGTAGCTAAATAATTATACACATGTAAGATTATTTCCTTAGGATAAGGTGAATATATCCTAAGAAGTGAAATTGCTGGGTCCAAGAATATGAAGAAATGGAAGGGTTTTCATATGCCTAAGTGATCTGCTCAGTATTTTTGCAAATCATCCCCAATACATATATATTAAATTATTTGCAAGTTACATATATAACTATGGTAATATATCATTTATAGATATTATATTTATAATATACATGATCAAATACTCTTAAATATAATATTTATAATTATAAATGTTAATTTTGACATATGTTTTGTTATATATACACACACATACAGCTTTATAATGAAACATATGCAGAAAAATCAAATGCAAGAAGTCTTAAATGGATGTCCTAATGTTTTCTTCCTATCCCAGTTATTTATTTTGAACACCCCAAGGTTGAGAAGCTTTTCATAGATATGGCTAAATGACTCCCAAGAAATTTTTGCCAATTTACTTGAATGATCATGTTTATTTATTTTTTTTTAAGATTTTATTTATTTATTTGATAGAGACACAGCGAGAGAGGGAACACAAGCAGGGGGAGTGGGAAAGGTTGAGCAGGGAGCCTGAGGCAGGGCTCCATCCCAGGACCCTGGGATCATGACCTGAGCTGAAGGCAGATGCTTAATGACTGAGCCACCCAGGCGCCCCTAATGATCATGTTTAAAGTAAAGAACACAGGTGCATAGTGGCAACATGGCATTGGCTTCTTGCTGTCAGGTCTTCCTACTGTCCCTGTAAAAGGGACAGATGTGCATGGCTTCAGGAGGCAGGAAGGCAGACCACTTGGCAGATAACTCATTTGCAAACCATCATTTCATAGATGTCATTTAACAGTGGTCTAAAGAGACTTGACCAAGAAGAGTCCTGTGTTCAAGGTGGTTTGGGAAATGTAAAATTCTGCTTTTGCCTCTTAGAGATGTGTATAGTACCTGAGTTTTTAAACACTCTGAGAAGTCACACACAAAAGAAACCAATTTGTTTAACCCAATATTCCCCAACTTCATTTAATTCATACCTCCCCACCCCCACAAAAAAAGTCATTTATTAATATCCTGTGCAATTAACTTTGGGGCATACTGATCTAAATATGAAAGAGAAAGATCTGGCATCAATCTGCTGGATTCATGTTCCAACTGAACTCTTCAGTGACTATGTGCTATTGGACAACTTAGCCCAATTACCTCATCATATAAAAGGGATCAGAGACTAATAGTTACCATATGCAGTTATTGAGAGAACTACATGAGGTTATATATAGATACACAAATTAAATAGGATTGTGCATGGCACAAAGCAAGCCCTCAATAAGTGTTAAATATTACTAGTCTCATCTTTCATGGATAACCACAGAAACATTTAAAGAAAAACAAAGGCAATTACAAAATGTAACACATTTTATAAACCACTTCCATGGGAGAAAGCCTTGTATTAATGTCCATCAACAAAGGGCTTGAAAAAACTCCTTGCTTTTACAGAAAGCAAGAGGCTTTTAGATGGGACTATGTATAAGGAAAATAGAACACCACCATTTGCGTGTTAATATACAGCTCTCCCAAGAAAAGGATCTGAATTGTTGCTTGTAAACGTTCAGATTTAAATTCTCTGATGGTGACCAAATGTTTCTGATGATCAAAAGCAGATTGAGGAACTGCTGTAAGGGGCGCTCTTTCAGCTAACTTCCAACCTGCTGAATAGTTCAGGAAGCAAGTACATCTCTCCCAGCGGCTTCCGCTGTGCATTTTACTCATATGCTGACAGAGAGGGTTTTGCTGGTGTAATTAGCCTCAGTTGATACACAGATGATTGAGTTGTGCTTTCTCTTAACGATGTTGTGCAGTTGCCATCTCAGCAGCTTCTCACATCAAAATCCAACCACCATACCCAAAGAAAGCAGCCCGCTGTGGGACTACTGAGTTTTCTAGCCAGGTAGGGCATCACAGATCAGAATCTCTGGCAAAGTTTACAGAGTGCACTGATACCCTGGGGCCCACCCAGAAGCTACTCAACCAGACTTTTCTGGTTTGGGTTCAGGAATCTGTATTTTTTGAAAGCTCTCCAGGTGATTCGGATGTGTGAATAAGCACGGGAATGACAGGGCTATGGCAAGCCATCCATTTTACAGATCAGGCTCAGAGAGCTTAAGGAACTGCATTTGATGAAATTCACAACACACTACCCCCAAATATAGCACCTTGGAATAAGGAATATTTTAAGCTGAAGACGTTTCAGAAAAGGCAGGTGCAGGAAGAACTCTCTGACCTCTGCTTGCCGGCGCTCAAGCAGGTCCTAAGTCCCTCATCCGAGAGGTGCCCTCCCTTTACATGGAGCAAAGACAGCACTCCAGGAGGAATCCAAACTGATAAGCCTTGCTAAATTTCCCCCAGTTTACTACCTTTAGCTCATATCCTTTTGTCCTGCCACATGTTTTTCCATGATTTTCTACTCTTCATTTAAACTTAGCATAAAATAACTCAGGTTTAACGTTTCTTGGGGTATTCATTTCCATATGAAGGCTCTGGTGTCACATAAAATTTAAGTACATTTGTATGCTTTTCTTTTGTTGATCTGTCTTTTGTCAATTTACAGGGTCTCAGCTGGAGAACCATGAAGGTAGTAAGAAAATACTTTCCTCCTCGCCTACACTAGGCATGTCAACTCTGTGCTTCAGTTCATTCATCTGCAAAAGTGGGATGATAATTGTACCTACTTTAGGATTTTTTTAAAAAAATTTTATTTATTTTGAGAGAGAACATGCACACACGATGGGGGGGTGTGGCAGAGGGAGAGGGAGAAGCAGACTCCCCGCTGAGCAGGGAGCCCGATGCAGCGCTCAATTCCAGGACCCCCAGATCATGACCTGAGCCAAAGGCAGACACTTAACTGACTGAGCCACCCAGGTGCCCAAGCTACCTTAGGATTTTTGAAAAACCTAAATGACACAATCCATAGTAAACACTTATTTAACATTAATTATTATAATATTTTCACAAATAAAGTGTATGAATTTTTTCTGCCTAGAAAGTGCCTGATTCCTAACAAATATTGTTCAAGACAGAAAAAAATCGCTGTTTGGCTCTATTCTTTCCAAATAGCACATAGAACATGTAAAAGAAATATGTAAGGCTTGACACATTTATGAAAAATCCTGATGGTAAAAGGAAGCACTTCTTCCTTTGATCCACTTATTTTTCCACCCCACATTTATTCAGGATGGGGAAAACTACGGAGAAGCCACATCCTCCTTCAGCCCCGAGCACTAGCTGTAAATGAACACAACTTCTATAAATGGTTTCCATATGTCGCTAAATAAATCAGTTCTGTCCTGTTTGTGGCACCCTATTCTCTTATGCAATTTCATCTGGATCACCAACATTCTGCTCACTGACTGCAAAGTGCCTGAAGACTTTGGGAGAGTGAAATAAATGCCTGGCTCTCTCCTCAAATTTCCCTGACCCATAGTTGCATTGCCTCAGGATGGACTCCTAAATTTACGAGGCAAGTGTTTCTCTACAGCCAAAATACCCAGCCTCTCTTGCTTTTACCAGACCCCAGAGTAGCTTGAATTACAAGAGGATATTTACTATTTTATCTTAATTGTTTTATAAGTCATCTCAAAATTGTGAAATTGAATTCATTTGATTTGGGTTTAATTTCAAAGGTGAATTAATTCTCTAGACTTCCGAAGGGCGTGAGGATTTTTTTTTTTTTAAGATTTTATTTATTTATTCGACAGAGAGAGAGAGACAGTGAGAGAGGGAACACAAGCAGGAGTAGTGGGAGAGGGAGAAGCAGGCTTCTTGCCGAGCAGAGAGCCCGATGTGGGGCCCGATTCCAGGACCCTGGGATTATGACCTGAGACGAAGGCCGCCGATTAACAACTGAGCCACCAGGCGCCTGGGCGTGAGGATGTTAATGCACTACTCCCTATAGGGCTACTACACTAAGTATCACCATTATTTGCTACGGCTACTACTATTACTACTATTGTCGCTACAATGTTTATTACTGTTGCTATTAATAGGACAGCTGACAGCTACTACTGCTGCTATTGATTTTATAGCCACTTGGGGCACCTGGATGGCTCAGTTGGTTAAACGACCAGACTTCCGCTCAGGTCATGATCTCAGGGTCATTAGATTGAGCCCCGAATTGAGCTGGTGTCGGTGTTGGGCTCTGCACTCAGCAGAGAGGCCGCTTGAGATCCTCTCCCTCAGCTCCTCCCGCCATGTTCTCTCTTTCTCAAATAAATAAAATCTTTTTCGAGAGAGAGAGAGAGAGTGAGAGAGAGCACAAGCAGCGGGAGAGGCGGAGCGGGAGGGAGAAGCAAGCTCCCCATTGAGTAGGGAGCCCGATGCGGGGCTGGAGCCCGATGCGGGGCTCGATCCCAGGTGACCTTGCGCCGAAAGCAGATGCTTAACTGAGTCACCGGGGCGTCCCAGCTAGAGAGATTTCTTAACCCAAAGTTTAGAACATCCCAATGAGAATTGTGAAATTCTTTTTTTTTTTTTTAATTAGGATACTAGAATTGTAGTGAAAATGAAGCTACCCAAGTGATTTGAGGAAAATAGAAGAAATAAATAATCCAATCTTTAAACAAATCACACATCAGTGTGAGCCTCCTATCAGTAATTTTTGGTAAATGTTTAAGATAACTGTGAATTTCTAAATTGAGAAAATAGTCTTTTCCGAACTGATGACCACAAAAACTTTTTTACCACAAGGCATATTATAAGAGTAATATTCCTAGGGGCACCTGGGTCACTCATTGACTGGTTGAGTCTCCAGCTCTGGATTTTGGCTCAGGTCATGATCTCAGGGTTGTGAGATGGAGCCTTGCACTGGGCTCCATGCTCAGTGCAGAGTTTGCTTGAGAGTCATCATTTTCCTCTTCCCCTCCCCCCATTTGCATGCTCGTGCATGCTCTCTAAATAAATAAATAAATGAATAAATAAATAAAATCTTAAAAAAGAGTAATGTTCCTCATAATGCATTTTGTGACATGTTGACCTAATCAGGTCAAATAAAGAAAACAGAATGTATGTATTTACACAGAAAAAAAAAAGGCTGGAAAGAAATACTCTAAAATGCGGGCGCCTGGGTGGCTCAGCTGGTTAAGCGACTGCCTTCGGCTCAGGTCATGATCCTGGAGTCCCGGGATCGAGTCCCACATCGAGCTCCCCCCTCAGCAGGGAGTCTGCTTCTCCCTCTGACCCTCTTCCCTCTCGTGCTGTCTCTCATTCTCTCTCTCTCTCAAATAAATAAATAAAATCTTAAAAAAAAAAAAAAAGAAATACTCTAAAATGTTACAAGTCAAAGTGGAGGCATTACTAATGCTTGTATTTTGTTTTGTTTTTTGATCCAGCCTTTTCTACATTTTCAGAATAACAAATAAATGCTGCTTTTACTTTTTAAAACACAGATAATAACCCCAGAAAATCTTTAAGTCAATTTCAGAATAACTGCCTTAATCTTGTCACTTGGGCTATGAATATCCTGCTAAAACAGGTAAAAAATAAATGCAGGTCTGATCAGACACATAGAACAAAATACTTTAACCCTTAAATCATCAGCATCTTTTAAAACAACTCATTCATATTTTTCTCTGACATTAGTAAATGCAGCAGGCAATGTCAAGATTTTCTTTTTGGATACCTCACAAATATGACATTCTCCAACTACTTTGATAAAAGTCCACATTCTCGAAGGCAGAGATATTTTAAAAACTTAAAAACTGAGAGCAAGCCCAAGATTTCTTGATGGCTGTCTACAACACATTTTGGTATAAGGAGATTTCTTCAATCAAGCTGCACACTCACACTCAGTTAAAAGCAAAGGTGATTGTACAACATTGTGGAATGTACTTAATGCCACTGAACTATATACTTAAAAATGGCTAATCTAGTAAATTTTATGTTATGTACATTTTGCCACAATGACAAAAACTAAGGGTAGTGAAATAAATTTAGGTAGCATATTTTATTTCGAAAGATCCTCACAACTTTCAATATTTGTAAGCGTGTTCACAGGGACACCTGGGTGCTCAGTTGGCTGAACTTCTGCCTTTAGCTCAGGTTGTGATCTCGGGGTCCTGAGGTGGAGCCCCGCCAGGGTTCCTGCTTGGTGGGGAGTCTGTTTCTCCTTCATCCCCTCCCCCTGCTTGTGCTCTCTCTCAAATAAATAAATAAAATCTTAAAAAAAATTAAAAAATAGAAGTGTGTTCACAGAATTATTTATTACAGTGACCTGGAAACAACCTAAATGCCCAACAATGGGGGACTAATCAAAGTATATACTATTCTTACCACCTAATACCTCAAAACCTGTTTTAAAAATTGATATGAAGTTGTTTTATTATGGAATCTTATCTAAAATTTATGGAGTGAAAAATGCCTGTTATTAAATGACATAATGTGTTAAATTTAAAAAATACATAAATATAATCCACTTATATTTATTTTATATATAAACACAGAAAAAAGTCCGGCAGGATCTATATCAATATGAAGCAGGGATCCTTGTTTTCTTCTTTAAACATTTCCAAATTATTTGAATTTGGAAGTGCATATGTACTTTTGTGATCAGAAAAATCATTAAACCATATTTTAAGTGTATATTAATATATAGGTAATATCCTTATAGGGGTCACTTTTCATCATTAAAATGTAGGCCATTCTGTATGTGCATTATCATGGAGGGGCTAGCATGACCCCCTGTTCTACTATGTTTAAGTGAAAACTTAAGAATAGGTTATACATGAAACTGATATGACATTGTAGATTAATCATACTTAAATAAAAAAATAAAGTGTAAAAGAAAAAACAGGGATCTTTTTTTTAAGGGAAAGACAAAAAGGAAATCGGTCAGGGAGTTTAATTATATAGGGGGAAAAACCAGCAAAATCAGTATTTTGAACATGTGTTGACTGCAGATTAAGTGAATTTATAGCTTTTGATAGACTTTTAAAATAATCCTATTTAATATGTTCAGAAAGAAATACAACTTCTCTTTCAAAATAATTATAAATTACCAAACAAGAAAATGTAAAAAAATAGAAATCTTAGAAATAAGTATTACAGTTATGGGAACAAACCATAGGATAAACTCCAGCTGGACACAGAGTGTATTTCTGAATGGGAACATAGAACTGTAATGTTCAGAATATGGCATGATTCTAGGGCTCCCACATTTTTTTAACAGAAATTCCAGAATAAGAGAGTGGGGAGAATGAGGAAAAAGCATCATCTGAAGAGAAATTATTGCTTATTTTCCAGAAATGAAGCAAGATCTAGGTCCTCTGAGTGAAAGTGTTTTCTGAATACTGAGCAAAATAGGTTTTGAAACATTTAAAACCATCTGCAATTTTAAAACATCTGCACCTCGCCATACTTTGACAACTTGTAGTAAAGCTAGAGAACTTCAAAGAAACTACCAGAGAGAAAAGACATTATTTACAGAATAACAAAAACTAAAAGGGACAGTAGACATCTTATTCATAGTAATGGGTGTCAACAGTCAATAGAGTAATATCAAAATATGCACGGGCAAGAGAATCACCAAATTCAGGGTAGCGGCTCTCTCTGGGCAGAGAGAGAGGAGTAAAAGCAAAGGGTAACCTAAGACCTCAATGCTAACGATGATATTTGACTCATTCAAAAACTATGTGAAGCACTGTTGATGGGCATGTAAAGTGGCACAGCCACTCTTGAAAACAGTATGCAGTTCCTTAAAACATTAAAAATGGAACTACCATATGATCTCACAATCCCAAGTTTAGAAGTATACCCAGAAGAACAGAAAGCAGGATCTCAAAGAGGTATTTGCACATCTATGTTTATGACAGTATATTCACAGTAACCAAGAGGTGGCTATTGAACCAACCCAAACACCCATCAACAGATCAATGGATAAACAAAATGTGGTATATATATATCTAATAGAATATTATTCATCCATAAGGAAGAAGGAAATTCTGTCACATGCTGCAACATGGATAAAACTTCAGGACATTATGCTAAGTGAAAAAAGCTAGTCACAAAAAAACCAAATACTGATACTGTATGATTCCACTTACATGAGGCATCTATAGTAGTCATATTCAGAGTCAGAAGGTAAAATGGTTGTTGTTAGGGACTGGCGGGAGCAGGAAGTGCGGAGTTGTTTGGTGGATATAGAGTTTCAGTTTTGTAAGATGAAACATTCTGGA